TACGAGCGAACCTCTCGATAACAATACTCTTCAAAATCATCCTTCTCTCCTAGCCACGCGCCCACTCTTCCCCAGCCGTTCTCGCGACACTACTCACTCCAGCATCACCTCTCTTCAGACGACGCATTCTTCCTTCACTCACCTTCACCACACCACAAAAAAAACGTCACAAATTTTCAACAATGGGATGGTCCTCCCATAGTCATAAGGAACACAATAATACGTTTTGGAATGCTGGTAATCAAATTAGCTATTACAGTAGGATCGAAATTTGTCTGTGCGCTGATGATCGACGTTTTCAGCTCTTCGGCTGTTCCATTTTGCTTTACTTTGCTGTGGAACTTTATAACAATTAAGGCCCAATGATTCTCTATTGGAATCTGATTCAGATAACATGGTGGCCACCAGATAACTGCCACATTTTTTCCTGCAATTCCATCTGGCGTGGAAGGACCGGCATGGACAGCCGCGTTATCGTGCGTAAAAATCAAGGTTCGAGGGAGCTGTTGTCGGAAAGATGGTAACAGTCGCTTCAGAAGAACTTCACGATACCCTATGGAATCCTCTTGAAAGGAAACAAACACGAGCTCTAGCCGCTCAGTCGTTCAAAGAGCCTCAATCCATAAGGGATTCTTCGCCAAAATTACCTTACATCAAAACCATCTACGATTTCCACGGAACCCTCCCGTACGCTTTTTTTCTATCAGATCCACCTAGAATAAACTTTTTCACGTCGATCTCAGATCACCTGTAGCACGAAACAAGGAGCTAGAGTCCAAGATCGCGAAGGGTCTGAACAGCCACAAACCTTCGTTCATAAAGTTGCGCCCTTTTCCACGCTGAAATGGAGACGTGCGATCTTGAAGCGCTCAAATAATCTTGGAACGCTCTTCATCAATCCGCTGAAGATGTATTGCTTCGCTGACGTACACACCACACGGTGGTTTTGCTCACGGAAGGCCGTATTTCAGCACGAACTTTGTTCGGACCCCTTACACAATTCGAGAGAAAACGCCCAGTTCCTCCTAAATCTTGAAGGAAACGCGGTCTTCATTTACCTAAGCTACTCTTCTCCCCGCACTGACCAGGATTTCGCACTTAGTTGCTTAGGTCGTAGGAGCCGGCCGACATGGGAGGAAATTCTGCTCCTCAGCCATCCCACTTCAGTAAGTGCTCTGGCTTGAGCTTGTTACTGGGAAGAGAGGCGAATAACACGAGGTATGGTAAACTCGATGTCGACTGAGCTCCACATATTTCCCCGCTTCCCTGATTCCCTTCACGGATCGTGAGAAATGGAAACTTTTTATGAGTGGCCCGATATTCATGAAACGGTGAAAATTCGTTCAGAAAAAGTTAATTGGGTTACTTGAGGGAGGAACTTTGTCAGAAAAACACTGTGAGGGTTTCCATGACGAGGAATCTAATGGTGATAGCAGCATTTCCAAAAAATGCACAGCAACTTTGGAGTAGCAAAAATTTAGGGTGGACCTATAATTATGAAACGCAGTGTATATATCCATACGCATCTTAAGGAGCGTGCTTCCCTCCCAGAACAAATATATAGAAGTTGAAAAAATTGAAAGCGGTCGTTTTTGGAGTGTTCGTATCCCTTTGACGTTTTTGTCGGGCAGTTTCTCCTTCTCCCGTCATTTTTTCGTTTCTGGTAAAAGAACGCGGTATAGCCGATGAGCAACGTCTAGGCTATGCGGTAGGCGCAGTATCATGTTCCCTCAAAACCGTGGCGAGCTGGCCTTGATATGTGAGGGTGGACGTTGAGGGAAAACTGATCTGAAAACTTTCGAACGCTCCTATGCACTACTGAGCTAGCCACGTAGGGAGTTGAGGAAGTTCTCCCAGAGCGATCTGGGAATGAGACTCCCGCAGATGGTCAAGCGTGCCTCTGGGTCACGGGTCAGTGACTGCATGGCCAGTTCCATCTAGACTTACTTCTGCTGGGCGCGCACATTCCCTCAGATAAGTAAGTAATTATTCACTCCAGGTCGTCCGTTCAAGTTCTCGCGTAGTGGCGTTCGGCCCATCTCTCAATTCCCTGCGCTCACACACACCCCCCCTCAAAAGTCTGGCAAGCCGACACCGTTGATCTTCAGCAGCTTGTACCCTTCTTCTGTCGGCTGCGTTCACCATAGCTGCACCATCGATTAGTACCTTGAGATCGGACCAAGCACAGCGTCAATCTTCTCTGCTGTTCTCCATGTAAAACCTTCCATTTAGGGTCCGCTTTGTCAAGCCTCCTAAAGCATTCTTCAGCATAATAATCCGTTTCGCAATGAACGGTCTCGAACGACCTCAGGTCTGATACCATTTTGACTTGTTTATTGGATAACTGCTGTTTTACGCCGCAGTTCGCGTTGCGAAAGTTATCACAAGAATGCTGAGTTGTGGGCAAAACTTTCGCCCCAGCCGGGATTCGTACCCGGATCTCTTGCTTTCCGGGCAATTACCAGTTAACTGGTAGCACAATTCGCCGGCCACACACGCACAGAAATCCGGGTTACGAATTCGCTGGGGTCCATTTGCCCAGCCTCCAGCATTCTTGTGATAACCTCAGTGAAATAATTCGATCTATGAGACTATCCAATAGTACAAGTACTGCTGGAATAACCAGCGAACATAGTAGAGCTGCGATCAGGATCAACCGTGCAGTGACCCGTCCAACATCCATCCCTAAATTTCGTAAAGAAATTTCCAACTTTGCAGAAAATTTCTCTTCCCCTGTTTTCCATGACTCTACGGTCACACTTCTCCAAATATGTACATCCCCCTTGCCAAAATCACAGAACATGACTTCTCTCGCATCCTATCTGTATCGCGTAAAAACATCGTTGTATTCTGGTCAATTAGATAATCATACAGCCAAACTAAGCCATAGCTTTTCTGCTGCACCGGGTAGTTTTGACTCCACTGGTATCATAGACAAGACGATTTTGGCCTTCCCTTCCCAGAAACAATTGGAAATAAACTGTCTACCACCATTCCCTGGAAATTGAGAATCTTTAGGAATCACAAAATAAAGTGGTTTAAAACCAGGGTGATGCTTCATCAAGTTGAGCATGCTTTCGATTTTGAAAAATAGGAAGGAGAACGATTTTATGGTTTTCAATTTTTTTACTTTTTTATCTCGCATTTGATACTCTCCGAGCCGCCTTCCCTATGGCCAGAAGTGTGGATACGGGCGGCAACTGCCAGTTGAGGTACGTGGAAATAAAACTTGATCTGCTTTACCGAGTAGGGTAAGTTTGCGTCCAGGTTTTCTTGACAGTGTAAGGAAGGAGGTCGTATTAGGAACCAGATTTCAACATCACTTTCCATTAGCTCACCGCCCATCAAGTGAAAGCTTCAAGGCTTGCTTGAAAGTAGTAGTAAAAAATGAGAAAGAAAAAGGGAGACTTGAGCGAATAAATGGAAACTGAACGCAGCCGTTTCACCCTAACCAGGACTCTCGACTACGTTGTAAGGAGCGCTAAAATGGACAGTCGTCCTCCATACTATCCTTCTACCTCTGCAAATCGTGACCTTTTTCAGATCACTTTGCATTGGAGACTGTCACGATAAGCAGAGCCTTTTGGGACTCGCCACAAGCCCAACCTACTTTCATGTAAATAATTCGATGGCATTTGAGTGCGTATTTTGCCTGTGTAAAGACTTACAGGATTGGTATCCGATGCTAAAGCTACATCGCCGATGGATCAACGGATCGATTCCGGGAAATGGGAACTTTAGTCCCGGAATATTTATTTATTGTTTTTTATTGACCGATATCTTTTGCCAGTGATTTTTCTTTTCAGTTACCTAATGCTAGATAAAAACCTCTGCAAAGAGAGAAACCGCTCACCCAACACACCATACACCACTATTTAAAGTGTCAAAAAGCGGACCTCCAAAAAAAGTCACCTAGTCTCAGGACTTCAGGAATCTCCTTGATCGTTTTGAAGCCAGCGTTCAGCCTTGCAGCATCACGGTGGCACGGTCCGCATCACACCATGTCAATAATTTAACAGCGGCTGGAGCTTTCAGCATATCAAACCATGCCAACCGTTACCTTGGGTAAAAAAACTCGATATCGAGATGTTCTTCCTGGTAGAGTCCCACATTCTACCCCTCCCTCCAACATTTATGGCGTCCACTACGTAGTGAACATGCGATCACTTACCGCACCGCACCTCCCTAAAGTACCGCCTAGCTGAGATATATGGTATCTTCCTTCTGGTACACCAAATCTTACACATTTTCGCCCATTAAAATTTCGATAGGAGTTGTGAGAAAACTCACCCAATCCCAAAAAGAGGTCACCTCTCTTAGAAACACGACCCCTACAATTTCCACTGCCACGACCTCTCCTCTAGGAACTCCAAAAATGATTCCTATCCAAAAATGCGAATAGCGTACGGCCATCCTCGTGGGTTTCCTCACCTTGTGGTTGACCCTGGCTCCACCACCAAAAGTCGAACCAAGGGATACGTGCGCGCCGAGAAATTAGAACATATTCCATCGAAAAGGACAACACATAAGGTGAGATCTCGAAAAAGTGATGTACAGACACGAGCCCAGAAGGCATCGGCGTGAGTTTTGACCCCTTCTCGAACGCATTTCCCATTAAATATCACCTCCACTACAAAGTGTAGTGAAAAAAGAGAAGCTAACAAAATTAATCACTGAGAATAATTAGATAAAATGGTAGTAAGAAGGAAAGTAAATATTGGCATAATGAAAATAAAAACTAGGCTGTATGAAGAAGTTTTATTGACTGATTTGACGAGAATAACACCGCGCACTGACACTCACACCCCTCTATTATCACAGAAATTGAATTAGTAAGTATATACAAATAAAAACAAGTACATAAAACAAAAAACTTCGGAGAATATGTATAATCTTCACAAAAGAAGAAATACAGCAAGTGTGTGAAATTCAAAAAAGTGAAAAAAATCAAGAAGGACTACAGACAGGTTTGAAACAACCACCGAACAACTGCTCGCTATCTATTCCGTCGAATTGAGCAGATCCTGAATTTCAGCCTCCCATTGCTCTTCAGATTTCTCATTTTTCTCAGCCACCAGTTCGTATTCGTTCAGATCGGACAAGAGTTCACGTTCCCAGTCATCATCTAGATCAGTATATTAAGTTTATAGGTAGAACAAAAATGTTACGAAAAAAAAAACAAAGAACCATCTGAAAATTGAATTAGTATTCGACCAAACGCTATCCTTAACACGATCAAGGATGGGTGAGTGAAACGGAAAAGCAGAAAAGGCAGAAAATGCCCTAAAAACGACGTTATAGGCGTCAACATGGTCAAGCGAACCGTCGCCACCGCCACATTTGCACCTCGACCCCCCTGGCCCCCCCCTCCTCTCCTGCCAGAGGCCGAAGTCCATGAAACGACCCTCTTCAAAAGCCGAACTATGAAAAGGTTGTCTAATTCTCCCCCAAAACTGTTCATAAAAAAGCCCTGCTACCCCACCGTCCACCAAAAATTCGTTTAAGAAGTACAAAAGTGAAAAAGTCAAAGAATGATCATTATGATGAGCCTACCAAACGAGCAAACGAGAAAAGGAGCAAAAAACGACAAACTAGTCACTAAAAATGGCATTCTATGACAACATCTCTTCTTTATTTATTTCCTTCGAAAGACTTACCAAATTTTTGTACTACACAGAGTATGGTTCTCCAATTTACATGTCCCCCTGCAGTTGAAAGAAGCCCTGTAACCGCCTTAACCAGCTGAGTGTTGACTTGATCTTTCGCGTTGGCCTTGGAGCAACTTATCTACTATTGAAATTTGACACATATTCAAATGATTATGAACTTACTTCAATTATGACGAATTTTCAGTCCTTAAATGCAGATTTGAATATCGTTTCCATATTTCAATTTAGGGGCGGAAGTGGTGCAGTGACAAGTGGCGCGCTCACCACGCGAGCGGTCCGGGATCAAATCCTGGGTCGTGAGTCGCCCGGGCCAACCAAGCCTTCCATCCCTCCGGGGTCGGTTAATTGGTACCAGACTTGTCTGGGAGGATAAAAACACACTGACTTGAACATCGGCTGGCCCCCGCAAGTCATTGTATAGGCCACATCGCATTCAAACGCCACTACGAATGTACAAATGGAAGTAGAATGCGTGCCGCATCCCAAAAAGGGATTGATCAACGGCAAATGCTTTATCCTTTTATCCTTTAAAGCAGATTTGGGAGTTTTGTAAGAGCTCTTTCTAATCAGTATTGAAATTACAAAAATTTATAAGAAATAACAAATTTAGATCAATTAACGAGGAAAATTCATGATGAGCACGAGTTTTTACACTTTCCGAAGCCATAACTTGCTTCATTTTCGTCAAATCAAAAGTTAATATGGCAGACAAAACTAGAAGATTTTCTCTATCAAACGGTTGCTAAAGCAGCTTCATACGTCCAGTATTTAAAAAATGGCCACGTTGAGGATTTTTGCAAAATTAACGAGGAAAATTCGTGATGAGTGCGAGTTTTTACGCTTTCCAAAGCCATAACTTCAAACTCATCCAATCTGAAAGTTAATACGTCATCATAAACTAGAAGATTTGCTCTATTCAACGGTTCTAGAACTGCTAAATACGTCCACTATTTAAAAAATGGCCACGTTGAGGATTTTTGCCCGAGTACCGCCGAAAGGTACTTTTTCGCTGCATTGGCACTATTTCAACGACTATAGCTCCTTTCAGGGGCGATTATATACTGAAGTAGGAGCAGATTCGGAATCCTCGTGCTTTTCTCTTTCCAAAAAGTGTAAAATTGTTTAGCGTTCTCAACTTTAAAGGTTACATGCTTGTGAATTTGACGCTGAAGGCTGCGTTTCTTGTTGAATAGTGTACTCCTCCCTGTAATTTCACATGAACCCTTTCAGAATCCTCTTGATTTTTCCTGAATTGAGATTCTTTCTCCAGAGAGCCGTAGTTGAAGCGCGCGCAACCAACTGGGCCCACTCTGGGATGCGCCGTGTGCTTCACATCCCTTCAGATTCGAGGACTTACTTGAAAGATAAAATATCCCTTGGAAAACGTGCGAATTTCGGATTCTTTAACTTGTGTGGTGATAAAACACTGAAGTAACTAAGAATTGCTAAGCGGACACCTCTGAATCACGAAGATTTTGTGTGGGCGGAATCAATTGTTATTGGAAATCCTCTGGCCTGGCATCGACTTCGATCCTTGATGTTTGTCCTCCGACGGTGATGATCCTACTGCATCAATCGGCCCGATCTCTTCCTCCCAGCGGGCCAATACGACCCCCCCCCCTCTGTGACGTGTGTCGAGGATTCCTCAACGCACGCTTGACCCTGGCGTCAACCCTTAGCAGATCACCCTGCTTGATGATATCCGCCCCACCCAGCTCGTATAGTATCATCAATCTTAAAAACAGTCTCGTCGGTTTATTACGTATACTCTCCTGTCACGGGGAAACACTTCTTCACCCCGGCTCCCAGTATCTCTCAATGCTGTCTTCTGCTTACTCTCCTCCATATCCCAGAGCAAAAACCGGGTCAGAAATTTTTTTGTATTAGTTGAAAAGAAAAGCTTGCAACACTCTTTTTCAAATTTCCCTTCTTTTCTGGAAAGTTCTTAGGCAAGATTTATGACCAACAGATGGTAGAGCATTCCAGAGGTATCCATCCATTGGTTGGCTATAGGCGCTGCAAACAGCAGCTATGTAGGAAAGTCCAAACAAACCTCGACCACTAGCCAATCCGAACTCCGAATCACTGTCCAGGACAATATCTCTATTATTTCGATGGCCAATATCATTTGCAGTAGCTTCAACGGGAGTGCCGTTCACCGCTACAGTTTGTCCCACCGTAGACTAGCGCTTTCGACCTCTTATGATATGTTCAATCAAGGCCAGCACAAGCGCTTTCCTGCGACTCCCCATTACAGCTGCGGCTTGTCACGGAAGCTCGCAATGAACTTGTGACGTGCGTTTTCCCCTTTCCCTAGGTGGTGGTCATCACCTAGTTGCATTCCGGGTCATTTGAAGACCTTAAGGTGTTTAGAGTTAATCGGGCAAAACTTTAGTTGAGAGTATTAAGCTTACACTTTCGCTCTTTGCCTAGCCAATGATTGGGCCTAGCAGCTTTTCCATAAGCTTGCACTTCCCAGAGACCAAGACGCAAAAAACCATGACGACGTCTCAATTTTTAAAGGGTGAACCTGATCCCAGAAGAAAAAACGCTACGAACTTACGAGCACGATGCCTGCGCGGCCTGACGAGCCTGGCGCCGGGCTAACTTCTGGAGTTCTGAAGCATAGACCTCTACCTTCATAATGGTGCCCATTGAAAAAATTGTGGTCGAGCTTGGGTGCGATCAATCCCACTTTGGGATGCGGCACGCATTCTACTTCCATTTGTACATTCGCAGTGGCGTTTGAATGCGATGTGGCCTATACAATGACTTGCGGGGGCCAGCCGATGTACAAGTCAGTGTTTTTATCCTCCCAGACAAGTCTGGTACCAATTAACCGACCCCGGAGGGATGGAGCTCGAGATACCTCGGACGATGCGTAATTTCGTAATCCCAGGATTCGCACCTCTTCTGAACCGCCGAAAGTAGGGTGCGTGGAAGCATGCCATTTTGCCACTAAAGTCATTAATTTTAGCGTGTCAGAAATCCGCTTCGTACACAACGGAAGTCCAGTCAAGTCGCTGAACGCGAAATCACTCTGTGAGGACGAATTTCTCCATGCTGAGCCCTGGTTTCTAAGAAAAGACTACATTACATCAAAGCGATGCCGCTAAATTAGTGTTCTAACGAAAAAACTCGAAAAGTACGTAGTACCACCGGTAGCGTTATTGACAGCTCAGACAGTCACCAATGTATCTTCGACAATTTACAACCGATCCTCGCACTAAACCTGCCACAGAAGCTATTAGTTTATGATTGCATGTAAATGTACATCCAACTGGCTGGCTGCGTCCAATAAAAATTGGAAAGTCAGCCAAAAAAGAAGAGAGGTGTTCGAAAGGGTATCGTGGAAGGAGTGACGTCAAGAACCGCCGAATCCGTTAGGAAGAATCGATCTCGTAAAAGTCATGAGGGGCACCACTTCCCTATTCTTTCAGGTGTTCCGCTATGTCGACTTCGACATCCCTCACTGAGCGAGAAAAAAAGAATATTTTCAAACTTAAGCTGATGCTTACCGACTTGTGTACTGCTCTCCTCTGTAGATCCTTCTTTTTCTACGGCTGTATTGACAGAACTTTTCTCAGCATTCATAGTCGTGGCTTCTTGATCACTTCCCTAGAAGAAAAAGCTCCATACCACCCAAAATAAACTTCTTTCTTCCAGTAGAACCAAGAAGAACAAGTAGTATTTGAGCGCTTGCAATGAATATCCCCTAGCCATTAAGCTTCCTATCGAAGACTTGGCATTTATAAAAGATTGAACAGCCTTCCACTTCTAAGTCCTATTTTTCATAACACTGAACTGAGCTATTTATAAATTGGCGGAGGTGATGTGGTGGCTACTAGCGCAAATTCTTATGCGCACGGTCATGAGGTTCAATTTCGGCATCGAGCCTTTTGGCGAGATCCTATCCTATTCTACGGAATCACGTTTCTGGCACCATGAACCTCAGGAAAAGAAATCTAGCCTTCACTCTAGTTAGCTCTCGCAAGACACTGCAGGGCAACACCTATTCCTATTCCGAATGGAAGCAGAATATGTAGCATATCCCCAGAGAGATTAATAGAGTCTAATGCTTTGGGCTGATGGTGAGAAAAATTTCGATTCGTAAGGTTGACTTGAGGGTCAGAATGAGATTCCGCTCACCTCAGCTGTCGCCACCTTTTCTGCCTCTACCGGAGCCGTTTTTCTAATCGACTGCTGTTCCGATGCACTTGCACTTATTGAATGTCTGATTAACGACACACGATAGAAATAGTTTCGCCAGAACTTCTCTTCACTCAATCTATAAACAGAGTGATCAGGTAGAGAAAAAACGTTTCCTTGCTGAAAAACTGGCTTACTGTTTAGGTACCAGCTCGAAGCGAACTCGGCTCAAGTTCGGGTCGATGTTAATTAACCGCTTCGCCATAGCCTGCTGTGTTGGTATATCGAAATCACAGTCTCCTGGTGACTCACGAATGAAGTTGTGAGGATCCTGAGGATAAGAACAAATTTGAAAGATTCACCATACTCAAAGCCGCAAAATGCATCGAACGTCATTCAAACTCTATGGTTGAAAGAAAGAAAACTTGATCAGAAGAAAGTTTGCTGTAGATAAGTGATATCCATAGACTAAACAAGACTGGGTCGAAGAGCTTTGCGGGTTGTGGCTTGGCCCTTCTACGCTGTTCCTATCACTCCACTGACCTGGCAGCTACTCGATCTTCCACCCCCCCCGCCCCCTTTTTGTGCACTAGCTCATACTACACACCATTTGAACACTTTGTGATTTTCAGATGTAGCACTGGAATGAATTTCCTTAATATTGGATGTTCTGCGTGCTATCTTACTACTGGTACTTGAGTTTATTTATGAACACTTTCTGTTACAACGATGAACTGATAGAGATAATAATATGAAGATATGAATATGAAAAAAAAAGAAAAAACAATATACTACACAGTAAAAAACAGCACCTACCAGGACAACGCCAGGATTTTCTTTTTCGCAAACTCTCGATCCGGTAATCCATCCCACGGATCCAAAACATCTGGTAGGCGGCTGGCAGCTATCTCTTCTACAAAGGCCTCCTGTTGGCGATCCAACTCTCCGATACATTTGTGCTATAAAAACTAGCCGAGTTTTGAACCGGAAACGTTTTTTCTTAAATTAGCAGGTTATTGGCTGGTTTCAACGGCTGGGGTGGCCGATGGCGGTGTAGTGCAAGTTGATCTACTTTCAGGCGCACTTCTCGGTTCAAAACGACTTTCTCTCCCAAAATAACCATTGGTTTTGCGGTTCACTAGGAACATAAAAACAATAAATTAAACACTGGCCCTATTTGCGTAGACCAAATCGCGTTCAAAAAGCCATTTACATTCACAATGAGTGAAGCATACCAGGAAGGAATCGATCAACCGCGAGGTATTTATCAATACTTCAAGTTAATTTTTAGCACTCGGTTGCAACCTCAAACTTACAGAAAACCCGAAGCTCTAGCTCAAGGATTTAATCATCCGTATGTTTTAGAAACTGAAGCTCGAGCTTATTTTCCAAAAAAATAAAAAAAGAAAATAGAGAATTACACTCACATTATCAACAACCGCGTTCTTCACAGCTGCTATTCCTTTGGTAGCCTTTGGCGGTGGTGTCTTTTGCATAGACCAATAATTTTGCTTAAAAACCACATTAATGTCAATAACAGTTACCAGTAACAGTCGACAGCTCTATCCTCAAAAATAAATCAGGATAACAAACATACAAGCCAATGCTTTGCCCTTTTCCTGTAAGTCATCAATGGTGGCCTTTTCGGAATGCTTTGTCTGCTGCTCTTGGTCTAATGATTCAGACGTCGGTTTGTCACCACTAGCGTCTTTGTCAGCTTCTGCATCCTTCTCCACCTAAACCACTACCAGTAAGTCAGGACATATTTGCAGTACCCACCAATTATCACTCGATAAATAAAATACGATCCGAATGTTTACGAATTTGGAAAACCGTTACTGCCAGGCAGTCCCAGTTTTGAAAACACTGAACTTTTTTCCAGGGAATGGAATGAGGATGGTCACAGAATGTTCACAAGCACGATAACTTGGACGGGAAAAAAAGATAAAGAGTATATGTCACGACACTATGCCTTCCTCGAACTAACTCAATGCTTCCTTATCGTAGTTAACCTAAGGAAACCAGCAGGGATTTTAGCAGCTGTTACCACATCCCCTGATAATATTTGGATGAAAGACAACTGATCAAGAGGAAAAAAAAAACTACCTCCTCTTTGTCGCTGACCGGAAAATCTTCTTTGAGTGAAGCGTCGATCGAAGTTACCACTTCACTGACTCGTTTCTTGAGATCACTTAACAACCAAGCCATTTTCTAAAGCATACAGTTTAATTTAAACTCAAGGTGCAACTTCAATCCCTCCGGCAACGCGTACAATGTAATGGAAAGATTTATTTACGCCAATCTTAATAAAATTTCGACTCAACTTGGGTTCAGCTCTTAGTCAATATCCGCGCCATTAAGCACCACATTGATTAACTAATTTAATTTCCTTCCCGCGGCGGGGTGTGTCGTAAATCGCCCACGAATCAGTAAATCACATCGCTTTTAAAAAATAGCCATCTTCTCGCTTATTACCGCTCTACACCACAAACAATCAAGGCAGAATCCGATTTTGTTCGAGGGTTGTCACATAAGACGTCTGCCAAATTACCGTCACACCCAACCGCGCGGGAAACAAGGTCGACAAAGACTTCGAAACCAGAAGAAGTAAAACAGATCTCGATAAAACGAGCGTTAACTCCACAGATAAAGCAATGAACCGGAACTTTTCATTTTTCACAACTAGTACAACACAAACATCTAGTTGACAAGTGATAAATAATTTAAAAATGCACATCAATATTGTGTAAATTATCACAAATTCATCACAAAAATTCATGGAAAACATTGAAAAACAAAGTCCGAATAGATATTTTCCCATGGTCAAACGTCACATGCAACTGAAGTCAACTGGAGTGATTTCATATGGCAAAATTCCGACTAAACAATGTCGTTGTGAGAGGAGAGCAGTATTGAAAGGGCGAAAGGGCGACTGGACTACTTTTGACAACATCAACTACTGATAAAAAGCTCAGGAGGTACTCGGTAATACTTTGCACATAGTTGACTTGACGAGCGAATTATTATAAAAACAGCTCACTTTTCGTGGGTGATTGTGTGACACGCACGGCAGCGAAGCCTGCGAAATGGCTTGTTTACGGCTCACCATATCACATTCCGAACGGACATTCATATGCCGAAAAAATGTAATAATTTCCAAATTTCAAAAACGCCCCAACTTAGCGGTTCCTATCAAGCAAACCCAGATAAATCTAGGCGCTGCCTTCGCACGGCACCCACACGCGATCCACAGGCTCCACAATCCGCCACCCACAAAAAATGACTGCTACGCTTATAAACGGCTTATTGCAGTCTATTAAGGCACATTGAATAGCTTAAAACACGAGCACTACTGAAACAGTGAGCGTAGAACAATTGACTGATACAAAGTGATGAAGTAATGTACTAACCAGGGAACCACTACAGAGATAACGGTATACCTGAAAACCCAAATGCGATTGCAAGAAGCTGAGAAGAAATAAAACCAAATCGGGAATCATCATCAGGGAAGCGGTCAATTGAAAGGCAGGAATACAAAGTACATTAGCGAGTAAAGCAAAAAATCAATGGCTTTGGTATGGCCAAACGACACATGAATATCAATTCATGCATTTAGTTGTTTGTGCAATAAGTGAGCAGCACACAACGCCCGCAAACTATGGTACAGAACCCTGATTGCACTGATTCCACAAGCATCCAGAAGAGCTAGTAGCAAAAAGTAAACAAACCATTCAAGTATCTCATTACGAAATCCCAAAAATAGCCACGTCCCTTCTATAGGCACACAAGCTGCGCAATGCTACCACCCGTGGTTCCAGATGAGGTACGGTGGTCAGCAGAGCGCCACCACGGAACAGCACATCCGCCCATGCAACCAGCTGATCTGAAATGAAGTTCGCTCAAGTGAAGAGCAGTATCCAAACCAAAATAACTGAAACTAAGCAGCTTTGGTACGTAGCACGGCTACATTGTATCGATTTTAAAATAAACTCCATGAACTGAGCTTTCCGCAAGGTTACATAAAGCAACATGAGAATAGTCAAAAATTTTCTGCTAATAGAAGATTCATTGAAGAGAAATTTCAGAAAAGATTTCAAAACGAAAGGGGGAAGGGCCATTGAATCTCTTCTGATTCTGATCAGCATAAATTGTTTCGTAGCGATTGCCCTGCATATTTAATGCACTTTTGAATTTTTTGAGATTGCTACCCACTAATGAATCGGAAACCATGAGCGGCCTTCATCTGGAGTCTGAGAACTCAGAAAAAAAGAAGATTAAGATGGTAAATCTAGCAGTCAGCTTAATTTGAATTTAGAACTTCCAGATGAGATGATATTTGAAATAACAACTTTACTTCTAACTAGAAGCTGAATGAATGAAAAATGTGAAAATATCTTCAAACTGCTTACCTGTCGCTGCTGATGGAAATTGTGCACATGAGTTTCACGAGTATCGTCAAGGGATATATTCATAGAAAGCAGCAATTCACAGTGGGTCGAAGAAATAATTTTCCATAAACTAGAACCAACTGCATTTATGCGAAAATTAATAAAATCATATATTCAAAAATTACACCAGTAATCAGGAAAGCAAAAGCCAGCTGAACCAAAGGTTTGAAAAGCTTACGCTGTTGGATCGTTACTGGCTACCCGTATTTCACGCAGTTGACTGGAGGGAATCAATGGCTCTGAAATATTGAGAAGTTTGCATAACAAAACATAAAAAAAGAACTTTAAGATGGCTCAGCCGAAATAATGAATATTCATAGGGAAATAGGACCGAACCTTTTAGCGTGTCAATCAATCGCATCAAAGCGCTGTACAGAGCTACTGGAGGCACTTGGAGCTGTGCTGAAAAAAAGATTTTCTAATAGAAGCATCTTAAAAATTGTTCCAAAACATCTAATAAACCGATTTTTCTTGATTCAATGAATCTGCACCCATTCAAATAACAACAAAATCCAAAAAGTTCAGAAGGGGAAGGTGTAACAGTTTTCTGTTGGGGTGGTTATACATGTAATGTAGCGGTACTAAAGAGCTCTTTCCTGATTCAACCCATCCTGCATACAGTATTTCGATATGTATTAGTGCAATAATAAGAGCCCTGTCTTGAACCACCTCCGCTTCCCGGCGGAGATAAGAAGCATTCGTTCCCTGAAGTATTTTTGAGAAATCTAAACTGACTCAGATCTTTCGGGAAGTCGTGCTCTAGGGCGTTCCTCACGATAATAAAAGTGGAATTGTTAGCGACGTCATTCAAATCCATTTTCGTTGCGAGCAGCTGGAGCGCACAAACTAGGCGATAAACCTGTAAATTCCAAAATTACAAAACAGGCTAATTTTATTTCTGAAAACATTATTGATAAGGGGCTGGCTCTCTTTACCAAGTGTGATGACCCCTGACTTGTCTATAATTCTATCTTTATTCCTCATTTGCTATTTACGTCTCTATTCTTTTGGATTACACACCACCAAAAAAAGTGGCGAGGTCTCGAAAAAATAGCAAATAATGTAAAGAACAATTTAGAAAGCAAGAAATATTCACCTCGCGTGGAATGTTAGGCGGACAAAACTCATCGCTCTCTGCTGGACCATCATCCTGAAAAAATGCGAATAGGAATTATGATTTTTGCCACCTTTGAATCAATCAGAATGAAGTGACCACTTGAAGGAATTCTCACTAGAGACTAAACTCCTCCGGCAAAAGACTGCTGCTAGTCGAGAAAAATTAATATACATATTGCCCATGTAGGCAAAAAAAACTAAGCTTAAAAAATATATGGCTTGAGACTATGAGTTATCAACAGGTATAATGACCGCTACACACTATAGAAAACTCTATAAGTAAAAGAGGTGTCTGAAAGAGACGATGAAAAGGTGGCGTCTAAAAAGTATTGGAGAACAATTAAAGCAATAGTTTCACTTGAAGCATATGCATATCCGTGTTTTTAAAAACTTCTCTTGAAATATCCAGAGAAGAGATGCGTTTCAAGCATAGTGTATTTGTCGCCATAAATTCTGA